CATGGTGCTGACAACACCAAGTCAAGGGTTAAGATCCCCTTACCGGTCATCGTTAAAAAAACACAAAAAACTAGATCGTCTCTAGAACCTTGTTACTCCAAGTGTAATTTGGAGCATCACTGCAGCATCAGCATCACCAGGGTACTTGTAAGAAATAGTCTCTGTCTCATCACCACTCCTTCTGCATGTTAACAGGAACTGCATGTTAACAGGATTCCCCAATGTGTAAAGTTTGAGAAATACTGATCTAGAAGATACCAATGACTAGGTTTGTAAGGGACAACGACATTTCCTCAAGCCCTAAAGTATAAGAGGTAAATGCTTGGGCCTTTAGGGTCACTGGCATGTTCATCTCTTCCCTATTGAAGCATGAATCAATATTTAGGTTAGGGTTTTTAATTCACTATTGTAGCTTTTGCACTTATCCATATTTATAGTACTGTATGCTTAATCTCCACTCATGTGTGTGGGAATTCAGCTCTTTGGGCTTTTCTGAATTACACAGAGAGCCCAACTAGAGATGCAGTGAGCTAGGTGGTGGTGGGTTAAGTGGATAAGGAGAATGGTGTACATATCCTTCCTCCCATACATATACACAAACCAACTTCCACTTAGCTTTTTATAAACTGGGGGTCTGTATTTAGTTTGAAGAAAGGGAGTAAGGTTTGGAAACTACTGGGTCTAGTAGATTATTTTTTCCTTCAAAAATATTTTTCACTTTTATGGCACTTGAATCTAGTAAAAAACAGTATTCACTGTGTACATGGCCTTTTCCCTACTAATTTGTACCTTCTTAAAGGCAATAATTCTTTACAGTGCCTTGCATACAGCAGGTGCTTGATATTCATTGGATAAAGGAACATGGTGAAATTTATACCTGAGTACCAGAACTGAGACAATAAAAATGTACAAACTCATTTGAGGCCTGCTTTATACACCTTTTTATCCCCCTAAATGTTCCATTAATTTAGCAAAGTGGCTCACTAGTTCCTGGAGATGTCTCATTGAGTACTAAGATGTGATTTTCCAAAACTTCATTTCTTTTTTTTTTTGGCAACTGGCCAGTATGGGGATCTGAACCCTTGACCTTGGTATTATAACACCACACTCTAACTTAGCTAACTGGCCAGCCCCAAATTTCCTTCTTAATCCAGGGAAAAGTAAACCAAAAAAAGTGAATGAAGCATTCATCTTTTTGGGGTGCTGTACAAGTCAAGTTGAATAAATTTTTAACAGTTGGGTTGATTGGCATGAAAGAGTCATATAGAAAAGTAATGTGGTAGAAACTTAGGTTTCATTGGACTTCTAGAGGCTCAAACTGGTAGAGTTGGGCAGGGGGGGGTGGGCAGCAGCTAATAGATGACCAATAGACAATCCCAGCAGCACACCTGTTTTCGTTAGAATGCTAACCCTGCCCTAGCATACTGGCAGTAAGTCTGAGGAGGAGACAGCAGACAGACAAGCAAAGGTAAGTGCTGGGTGAAAGCTGATTATAACCTTTCCTTTCTCAGCTGTTTGTCAGCACTTGTACAAAGGAAGTAAATAGCTCTTAGCTTCTAATACAGGAGGAAGTTAAACCAGTGATATTTTAAAAAGTGGCTGAGTGGTAGGGAACCTATCACTTTAATACTCTAGAGGCAGAATGTCACATAGGACCTTGGGCCACATTTATCGTATTTCTTTTGCCAGCGTCAAGATGCAGTTTGTTTTTTGCAGTTGACTTCAGACTTGGGCCCTTTTCTCTACCTGTAAAATGTGACAGTCAGGTAGTCTGAACATGGAAACAGGAAACAGGACTAATGTTTAGCAAGGTGGGCCTCATACCTCCAAGAATCTAGTTTAGGCTATATAAACCTGAAAGCGTGAGGAACCACCAGATTACCATTTGTCTCTAAATTCTACTCTTCTTTAAGTAACTAGCACTCTAATCTCCAAATCTCTGATAGGGCACAGGAGAGCTCCTTACCACTGTGACCACTGGCAAGTGGCCAACTCCTCAAATATAGAGTAACTACCTATTTCAGCTGAAAAGGCCTTAAATATAGGATGCTATACGAAGTTATTACGCACAGGTGAGCTCCTTACCACTGTGACCACTGGCCAGTGGCCAACTCCTCAAATATAGAGTAACTACCTATTTCAGCTGAAAAGGCCTTAATATCTGTTTCTATTCTGCTTACTCAACTATACAAAACAGGACAGAATACTTGTTTACAATACTGAAACATTTGTCCTATGTTGGGGAGAGGAAAAAAAAAAATGGCAAATGAGATACCAGATGGGTTCTTTCTCCAGTCAGTGCTCAGCAATGTCAGGGTTTCACTTGTCTCTATAATCCTGGAGAGGAATCTAGTTCTGGAAGCTGAGCCTGTGTTTTAAGGATAAGCACAGTGTATTCAATAAAACGTTTTTATTCTGTACAATATATATCTGTATTTAAATATATCTATATACATATATATATGCAGAGAAATCTCAACCAACAAATCCCTGAGTCCATGGGAACCCAGGACACTAACAAAGGGAAAGGAGGGAGTCCATGCCTAAAGAGTAGGAAATATGGCAACATCTTTCCCTTTCCTCCTGGTTCCCTGCAACAGAGGGAGGGGGATGGTCACTACAAATTACTAAAACAAGAAGGCTTATGTGGGAGCAGGGAGGGGGAGTGAGGGTGGCAGGATGGGGAACTGTAGGTCAGGTCCACCCAGCCACCAGTCTGAGAAATTAAAACATACTATTTGATCCAGCATAAAAGCCAACAGATGACTGCAGAAAGGACAAGACTAATTGACATGCAGCTGACCTTTGGTATGCCAAGCCTCAGTTTGGCAGCCCCACGCATGGGCCAGCACAACAAATAGCACCTGTGGGGCCTGTGAGAGGAGGAAATGGGGAAATGACCCTTGAATGAAGAAGGGGAGATAAAGCTGAGGAATAGGCCTCAGGCCTCAGCACAGGGTGGGAGTACTGCCATTCACTGTCCCTGTGCCATTTCTTCAGATCCTGGGCCACCAGATAGCCAGGAGCAGATGTCTTTTGTTCAGTCAGGTAGAGGTGGGCAACTTACATGGCCTTGAGAAGAGGTATAGAGAAAGGAGTGCTTTTGAGGGCCACTCCTGGTTGTGACAATTCCTGAAGCGCAGAGACCACACCAGCAAATCATGCCCAGTCCTGATAGTGGAGCCGAGGTGGCTGCAGTCAGCTCCCTCCAGTAGACAGGCCACAGGATTACCAGGGTTGATGAGCCAACCAGGTGGGCACACAACTGCTGAGCACTGCCCTGAATTCTGTCTTCTCCCTGGCCACATCAAGCTTGGCTCCTCTCCAGAACGGCAGCAGGGAGCAAGTAGCAGTGAGCACCCTTCTCTCCCTAGCCTATTAACACACAGGGCCACCAACAGGGCAGGGCAGCATGGCCAGAAGTCACCTTATATATTGTAGGGACAGCTGTCCCTCTCTGGAGGACTCAGAAGCCCATGTTGGCCTGGGCTTCTCCTGCTGTAATGGCTTGCACATCAGTGACATGGCCGATGCCCTTGGTGACACCCTCCCGGAACAGCAGTTTGGCGCCCACCTTCAGGTACTCTGGGTGTTTCAGGAAGCGGAAACGTACAACTGCCTTCTCCCCTGTCCGCAGCTTGTCCTGAAGCACATAAGTGGTCACTGC